CCACACCGCTTTCCTCCGCACCCGCCAAACAAATCATGGAGGCTTTTAAAGAGTCTGAAGGTTAATTATGGATCAGCCGACCACATTTTGAACTCCATTAGACCCGTTGAGGATTTAGGAGAGGCTTTTGATCCCAGTTTGACATTCAATACTCAGTGCTCTACAAATGTTTAGCGTTTGCCGACGTGCGAAAATCCCAAAGTCGACCCAAAAAGAGAGAGAGAAGAAACAACACAATCTGTAGCTCCTCCTCCTTCAAACAGTCGATTAATAGAACAATAACATCCAACATGGAGGATGGCGTCTCTCTCATGTCCACAGAGTGTCCCGCTCGCCTGTTTTCAGCACTATGTAACTTTGGCAGCGGGCCGAGGTCGTCTCGTTAGAAGTGTGTACGTCTTTACGGCGCTAGTTCACACAGCAGCCTTCAGCTACAGAGCAGCCAGTTAACCCGTCTCTGTGATGTTTGATTCAACGGCTGAGGCTAAGCTAGGAGAAGCTAAGAGGAGAGGGAGGGAGAGGGAGGGAGAGAGAGAAGCGGGACGAGAGGAAATATTGGACAGACTTTTACGCGTAGAGAACTTCAAGAAATAATTGGCTGCAAGTCTGACACCAAGCTGGTTATCTAAATACACTATGTGTGTTTAACGACGGTGCAGTTCTCTAGACTCTTCTCCTCTGTCGCCCCCCAGTGGTGGAATGAACTTCCAAACTTCATTTAAGAAAAAGCTAAAGACCCAGCTTTTTCATGAATACCTACTAACTTAATGATGGTCTCCATATTATTGATGATGGTGATGGTTGTGACGATTGTTTTTGTTTGATAACGACGACTTATAAGATGGTTTCTATACTGATTAGAGCTCTCAAGAACTGCCCTCAATGTTGTGCTTTTCCTCTGGTCACTTCCTGTCAGCACCTGTGTGTCCAATCGGACACAAAGCTGATTGTTCCCTTTTTCTAGATCCTTGCTTGTGTTGTCCTTACTCTCTGATGTACATCGCTTTGGATAAAAGAGTCTGCTAAGTGAATTGTAGAATTTTAGAATTGCAAGTGCACTGAGAGTCCTTTGGTGGGCGCCAAAGCTCACCAAGCCGACTTCCTCCACGATGTTGCTTTAAAGCTCCTGTGAGGAGTTTGTCACTGGTTATGAGATTACCTGAAATGAACACTGAAGCGTCTTTATGAGCAACAAAAGCAAAAGAGCTCATCAGCATGAAGAAGGGTTATTTCTTTAAAGTTATTTTAGATGTATAAATCTGCTGCTGCAGAGTCGTGGTCAGACGAGGAGATGAATAGAACCCTGCAGAAACCGACCTTTTTTTAATTTTTTTCATGCCTTAGAATCCCAGTGAGTAACCCCTGATTTTCACATAATCCGTGTGCATAGTGGTTCATCAGCGTCGCGCACTATGACGTCGTTAGCTACAGCTCTAGTCAATGATTGTGTTTCCGCAGCGAGCGTCGTGGTCTGTCTCCTGGGCGTGCGGCAGCGCCACTGCACTGTGATCCGTTTCAAATACGCTGCGAGTCTGTTTTCCACGGAGTACGCTGCAATCACGCCTCAAACTGGCCAGAAAAGATTGACCCCGACAGGAAGTCAGACAAAAGAAACACACAGAGCGTCTGGTCAATTTCAGAATAAAATGTTTTCCATCACTCGTTCTCCTGGCTGCGCTCACGGAGCCAGTGGGGCAGGGCACACGCCTTCCGACAAAGTGAAACCTTTGCGCTGACGGACCGCGGCCTGCACGGACGTTGTGTAAATTGGCGTTGACTGTGAAAAGACAACAGGAGATTTTTTGGTTAATTAACGCTTCGTACACGACCTCAGGAAAAGGTCAGCAAGCAGAAGAGGTGAACCACTTAGCCTGCAGGGGGCGCCAACATTGACACCAAGTTATCCACCCGGCCTCACCCAATGCATGCTGGGAGGACCTCTAGCCTCATGTAACCCTGATTTACACACACAAAGACTTTTTAACTTCCTCTGAAACTCAAGCAAAGAAAATCAACAACGTCTGCACCAGGCGAGGAAATCTGACCCATAGACTGAGCGACTTCAGTCATTGTGAGTCACGCCGCTGACACATGTGGGATCAGTTTGCTAATTATTTCTCTCATTATTTCTCCATAAGGGAGGCGCAGTGAGCGGAGCCCTCAGGTGCTGTTAGGACTCATTTGTCCGGTTTAGGACGTCGGCCTCTCCTGCAGGTTTGATTAGTTTGGACAAGTCGACGGGCCAGCTCCGGCGCTGCGTACACGCCCAGTCTGTGCCACTCTGCAAAGTTTTCTTAATTATTTTTTAAAATGTCACGTCTGATTTCACCTCCACAAAGGGTGAGAAGAAAACAGTTTTGTTTTGGAGGGACTCAGAGCCGGTGTGCGGTCATTCCTTCATTAACGAGGAATTTGTGATTTTTGCCTACGACATCGATGAGTTAATAAAAATAAAGGAACTTATGAAAGTGGACTCAGGGAACTCTTACTTGCCAACATGTTAAAGGAACAATCCGACATTTTCTGTCCTTCTTTGTGTGAGGAAAGGAAAGGAGCCACAGGCTGGATTTGAACCTGGGCCTCCTGCTTGGAGGACTACAGCCTCCATACAATGGGCCTGACCACTAACCACTGCGCCACCAGTGCCCCAAGCATTTTTACTTTTATGTACAAGTCTATCACTCATATGTGCAGTCAGATATATTAACAGTATCAACAAAAGAGTGGGAAAGAGACACGTGGGAAAGGAGCCACAGGTCGGAACCGAAACCAGAACCAGAACACAGCCGGCGTATATAGGGCGCGTAAACCAACTACCCAGCCACCAACGCCCCTACACTGACATTTTGGTTTGACTCCATCTTGACTGTTTGGACTGACAACTATATACTCGATTCTCGCTGTTTATTTGTGAAGATATCTCCAACATGTATTCGTCAGACTCGTCTCTCAACTGGGAGGTCGGGGTTTGATTTTCAGCTCCTGCAGCCACATGTTGATGTGTCTTGAGCAAGACATTTAACCCTGAATTGCTCCCACTGCTTCTGTGGCAGCGTGTGTATGAATGGGATGAGTTAAAACTGATGATAGTCAGAAGACAAGCTCAGGTCCATTCACCATTTACTGGGATCAAACCAGCAGCATCCTATACCATCCCAGCATCCCTCCCCCTGACAGCGTGATCCACCTGTTCATGGTCGTTTCTTTTAACTTCAACACATAAAAACATGAAACTCATCTCCCTTGGCGCCGTCTGTGTTCTCTGTCTTAATATCTGTTAATGTCATGAGTCAAATGAGAGACGCTTCTTCTTTTGTGTTTATTCAAGTTCCAAGAGATGTGTAATAATTTCATGTTCAGAGGCAGTGGTCCTCGCCACAGCAGCTGTGGGTTCAAATCCGATCTCGACCCCCCCCCCCCCGCTCACTCCTCCTAACATTTCCTGTCTCTCTTCAGCTGTCCTCTCCAATGAAGGCAAAAAGGCCCAAAAGTATCAGTTGAATTTGAAAAACTGCTGCTCAGTGTGACAGAAAAAGTCACATATTTAATTGAATATAGGACACTGACTTCCGTCTGTAAAGTCACAAAAAATGCAACAAAACACATAAAGAAGCTCCTCAGTTTAACTTCAACATGACCCCACAGAAGACCTCAGTGTGGAAAACTAAATAACACTTAGCATATATGGTTGATAAATCACCTTTTGCTGCCCCTGCACACTGAGTGGATGCAGCTTTACCTGAATCATAGTCAGGAATATAACCTACATTTATGAAATATATTTACCATCATTTATTTGAAGCCTCTCATTGATCCCGTTCATTCGGAGATCTGCCGCATCATGAGTTTAATCGTTGATGATGATTGGGTTCATATATTGGGACAATGGAGGCCATGGATGGTCGGCGTGTCGCGGTGTTATGGCGCCCTCTAGCGGTGATCACGTGACACTTCAGTAATTTCATACATTGATTTCGGGATTTTTCCAGATGCTAAAAATTTAGATGTACGTTCATTATTCATGAGTTTTGATCCCTCAGGGTTCGAAGTTGATATAATTTTAAAAGGTTTATCAGATGTCATGAGAAAGAACTCCTTTAATAAAACACTTTATATTTGGAGTTTTCAAAGCTCACTGATGATGAGTCCTCGAGCACCTCCCCCTCTTCACTTCCAGAATTGGATTCACCCCTCTGTGCCTTTAAAGGGAAGACATTTAAAGGCACAGTTACATTTTGGTACTCGAATTTTTAAAAGCACAGTCTCAACATAATTCTCGCAAAGCAAACTGGTGTTGAGGCGTAACCACTGTGGGAGGATTTTACCAGTGCACCCATGGGTGGAGTTCCCAGGGCACCTTAGAACTCTGCAGGACAGAGACAGAGCAAAGTGTGAGCCTGACTTGATCTGGATTAGAAAGCAGCAGGTGGAGCCGAGTCTGTCAGGTAGATACTGTCAGACAGTTGGAGCTGATGTCTTTGTTTCAGCTTGATTTCATATTTGTGTTCTTTGATTTATTAATAAATATAATCTTCTGTGGTTGTTAAGTTTCTGTCTCTCTTAGTTGTGATGCTTCTCATGTCTTGTGTGTGAAGCACTTTAAATCGCTGTGTTGCTGAAATGAAAAACTTGAGGAATTAGATTTTTGTTGGACATTCATCTCCAAGCTTAAGTTTCTTTAAGGTCCATTTGACTTTAGTGTAACTGGGGGATGGGCAACTCTAGTTCCCAAGACGACATTTATGCGATTCCAATGTCAGAGGGACGATTTGTTACAAACTGTAGAAAAAAACAAAACAAAGACCTGAAATGTAAAGTTTGCACAGGTATCACCTGCGTCTCTTTATTATATATTTATGAAACTCTCCACATTCAGGTTGTGGGCGCTGTGGTCTTGATCCAGCTTAATTTGGGACACCAGCATCCACGCTGAGTCAGCAACTGAACCTCTGCAGTGTAGAAAACTCAAACCTGAACCATGACAATACATGAAGACTGAATCAACAGGCCGCTGCTGCCCCATAAGAGCTTTATTAAAACATCACTTTCAACATGGGTACGCCACAAAAGCAAGTTTCAACACAAAAACTGCAGCACCAGAAAGAAAAGAACAAACAAACCCAAAAAAAGAAAAGAAAATGAGCTTCTCTGAAGCCACTTTTAAAAAAATACCCCAGGTGAGTAAATGCAAGCTCAACCGTACAAACAATTCCTAAAAGGTGATCTACTGTAAGACATTGAACCGCTCGATGCAGGATGTCAGAACACTTCAGGTTATACGGTCTTCTGCTGGCCCTTCTTTCCGATCAGAGACTTGTGGATGTGAGGGATCACACCTGAGGGGAGAGAGAGAACAATGGATGAGACGTTAGGGGGCCACCTGACAGACAAACTTTATATACATTAATAACATGAGTTTAAGAGAACCGAGAGGAAGCAGGCAGGAGATTTGAAAAGGTTCAGTGGAAGAGCATCAAACAGGGTTATTCCTTATTTGACTCTTCATGTCCCACAAGTTAATGAAACAACTTGTGTACAATTATTCTGTCTCGTACTCCAGTGTCATCACCCGTCAGTCGACTAAATTAAGACTCGTTGAGGCTAAAAGCTTTTCTTGCAGCTTTAACAATCACTAGAATCGTCAACTCAGAGCGAAAGCTCAGAGCGGTAAACGACAGAAAGGAAATATTTAAACTCCAAGCATTGTTAGCTTTTGTTTCTTTATGTTTTTATGGCTGATTAAGCATAAAGGATGTAAATATTACTCAACTGTTCTTTCAAAATCATATTTATTCCATTTCTTTTTCTGGGGAGGTCCTTAAAGCTTCTTACCTCTCCTGCAAATATCTTCTTTTTAACATTCCTCCTTTAGTTTTTTGTTGTACAATAGTAAGTGCTGTGTGCATGCAGAAATATAATTAAAATGTTTCAGAGGCCGACTTTGTGGCAGTATCATATTGGGAGTTACCGTAAGTGCATCATTAACTCCTTTTTAACCACAGCAAATATTCACGGTGTGATTCAGACTTCAGAAGTTTCTAATTTAAGTTGCTTTTCAACCAACTTAAAAATTACAAATGCATACATTTCTGTTCCATTTACACGTGTGTTAGCCTTTAAACTATGAAGTTGTTTAGTTTGTTATTTGACCAGCTGGTGGTGCCAACACCCACAACAACAAAGAAGAGTATTGCAATATTTGTGTCTCAACAATTTGAATTGCAGCTTTATTTGTTTTGTGAGGCATCCCTTAATCCCAATAGTTAGAACAAACAATGGTAACTGCCATGCAGGTTTTCACCCTGTGATTATAATCATTACAGGGTGTACTTCATTTAACCCCCTTTAGTATGAGAACTGCACCTTTTTTTTTTTTCTCTCTAACTTTTTAAACTGCAGTCACTCCTTTACGTGCTGAGACATTCCCCTCAGATCTACTTGGACAGTAAACCTGATGGTGACTGTGTTCTCTTACCTCCTCCAGCAATGGTTGCCTTGATGAGTGAATCCAGCTCTTCATCTCCTCTGATGGCCAGCTGCAAGTGGCGGGGGGTGATACGCTTCACTTTCAGATCCTTGGACGCGTTTCCTGCCAACTCCAGGACCTGAAACAAAGCCAGTCGTTACGCTGTGTGTTCAGGCCACATGGTGAACACCTGTAAGGTAAATAAAAGAGGTGTTTACCTCAGCGGTGAGGTACTCGAGGATAGCCGCGCTGTACACCGCTGCGGTGGCTCCCACTCTGCCGTGACTCGTGGTTCTGGACTTCAGGTGTCTGTGGATACGACCCACGGGGAACTATGGAGGAGCCGAGAGAGAGAGAGAGGGGACATGAGTCAGGCAAACAAAGGGTTCAGTGGCCTGACGGTGGGATACCGGCGGTCGCCAGCCGGGAACCCGTCTGGTTGTTAGCATGATAGCTTAGCACAGAAATGAATGAGTGTGAACAAACCTGCAGCCCGGCTCTCTGAGAGCGCGAAATCGCTTTCGTCTTGGTCTTTCCGGAGTCTTTTCCTGCCTTTCCACCAGCCTGGAACACAAAACACACTCTTAGTCCATTACGTATTTTATATTCACTTCACATTAAATGATGTTGTTATATTTCAGCCCCGGTTTAACCCTTCTGTGACCGCTCTTCTGTTTAACGAGAAGTTAGCTAGCATGCTAAGCTAACAAAATACAATTCTCCGGCTACTGGTTCATATTATACCGTCTAGAATCAGCTATACGTGTTTAAACAGCTATTCACACTCACCATGTTTAAAATCAACTAATAAGTTCCGACGCTGCAGCACGAAATTGTGTTTAGCTGTAGCCGAATACCGACTGCTGGTTTGAACTACAACCCCCGCCTGCAATTGTTCTATATATAGACAATCTTCATCCGGGTAACGCCGATAAGCTCACCAGCCAATCACATCTCGTTATGGGTTGTATTTCCTCTCCGCTCAACCAATGGAAAAGGAAGCGACATCAGTTTGCGGGAAAAGCGGTAAATTTCCTTTCAAAGTGTCGATGGGAAATGTAGTTCAGACTTTAATATCGTGTTTTCACTTCGTCTTTTTTTTTTATTAAGGCAGATTGCTATCACAAATTTAATATTATTAATTGCTATGATAATGTATATCAACACATTTCGTAATAAAAGGGTGAGATTTATTTGTCTGGACAAGTTGTCGTCATTTGAGGAACAATGTTTACTGTTATATTATCATAATCACACAAAGGTAACTTGTACCTGTACACAGCACAGTTCACCTTGTGTGTGTAAGCATACCTAGCCAATAACTCTGATTCTGATCAGATGTTTCCTACACAACAGTCAGTCAAATGATAAAAACACAATAAAAGAGAAATCAGCAACACACTATCAACTAATGATTGAATATGTAGGCTATTAAACTAAACAGGAACGTATCTGACTACCCACTATTTATGATTCTAAACCAATTATTCATTAAAATGCGTTATAGGCCTATTTTCTTAACATTATATATATTTATTTGTTTAAATATATAGTTACATCTTTGCACATGATTTGTCATGTTGAATGAGAGTTGCTGAACTTCCTGTTATATGGTGTTTTATGTCATATTTAGCCTTTTAATGATCTTCCTTCTTTAAGTGCTTATTTTACCTGCCTGTTAACTCCTTCTTCTTCCTTTTCTGTTAACTTTTAAACTTCTACAATCTTCATCTACCAGGCCTATTTCAGAACCAAAGCTTTGAGTTGAACAAGCAGTTTCTAGTGATGTTATGTAGTTTCTCGGTGCGGCCACATGGGGGCAGTGAACGCAAATGATTTCACATGCAGTCTGTGCTCTGCAGACATTTGAAATAGCAAACAGCTCTTCTTAACTTCATCGCTATAAGTTTTGTAAATAAATGTCCTGCTTTACTTCAGAAACAAATGTTATTTGAGAAAAAAAAGAAGTTTTAAATGTTTTAAGCAGGAGTGCTGATTATAAAGTCCTGCGTTTTATACTGTGTTGGTAGCTATTGTTCCCTAAATAAATACCAATGCTATTATTTAACCTTGTGTTGTAATAATAATAATATACTCTAAGCATTACAGGGCATGAATGTAAGCTTGTTTGGGGCTCAAAGTTTAAATAATTGCTTTGTTTTGTTCGTCCTCTTCCCTCACACCTTTGCAAGTCCCTCTCTCATCTCCTGCATGAAAAACTGCAGTTCCTCCAGTGTCCACCAGAGTCTGTCTCCTGCAGTGAGTCAGTCCCCATAGAGATCCATGTTAAAATAAACATGTTTACAGCCTGGTACTAAAACAGTTTGGGTCTCTAGAGCTCATTTCACTTTTCAACTGTACAGGCTGAATGTTTATACAACTCACCTGTTTACATTATATTAAGGCTTAAAGGGATTTAGAATTAGGGGGCGTGGCCTCTTTGAGTGACATATGGGAGATGCTAGCTGTCTGCTAAGTGTCATCTCAGCTAATTCAGTCACTGACCTTCAACCTCTGGGCCATCATTGTTACTGTTTATCATGTAAAGACTAATAATCTGTCTCTCTGTGAGCTTTATTGGACTAACAGACCGTCCAACGAGTCTGAGCTCCACTTTTTACAACTGGTCACTTTCTTGTGTTGATTTGTTAATATGTTTGCAGTTAGTGACAGCTTCCTGTAAAGATGTCGGTCACTATACCTGGCTTGTTAACATTTTAATTGGCCTTGCTAATCTCCAGCTCCACCTTGTTTTACCACATTTATTTTCCAAAAACCAAGAAACCAGAAACAAATGGGTGATGTCAGGATCACTATATTCACAATTTTATACATTCAACAGTAGGCCTTTGCAACAATCCAAATAAGAAATGTTTAAAAGTGTTTTTTGGTGTTATAAAAATCAGTTTAGTTTCAGTTTAGACTGTTTTCAGCGGCCATGTTCGACGTGAATAGAGTCATGAAACCGTAGAGATTTAAGCCTTCTTTTCATCCTGTTTTACTGCCGTGTTAATGTGCAACAGGCTCCAGTCAGGGTGTGTGTGTGTGTGTCGGGGGGGTTGATAAGGCAGCAGTCTGTATGTGTGTGTATGTGTTTGTGTGTGTGTGTCTGGGACAACATGCACAGCTGGTGGTGGGCTGGTCACGTTTAAATCTCATTCCATTCATTCTCAGGCGTCCTCTTCTTTCAGCAGTCACTCACTCACTCTCTCCCCTGACCTTTACCTCGCTCGCACGTCCTCCTCTCTCTTCTTCAGTCACTGTCAATCACACACACACACACACACACACACACACACACACACACACACACACACACACTCTCTCTCTCTCTCCTGCATCTTTCATTAAGTTTTTCATATCTATTCATGCGACTTTGAAGTTTTCTTTTTCACATGTCCCTCTTCATTTCTCCTTCTATTTCCACATCCTTGGTTCCTCCACTTGTCCACTTTCCTTTCTCTTCTTGAGGTCACTCCCTCCGTCTCCTGCGTGGTCAGAGGTGACTGAGAACTTTCCATTGGACACTTGCAATGGTTGAACATTTAATTGAGGAGAGAATCAACCAGTGACACTGAACAGGAAGCAAAAGTGCAGAAACATACTCCTTAAAAATCACATAATTTTTCTATTTAGTCAATGCTCTCCCAAATAAAAAAGCATACCATAGAAGACGCTTCATAGATTGAAGTTTTTTGTTCTTTTTGAAAGAGGTTTTTTACCTTCTAATCACAGTAATGATGTGGACAAATAGCTGATCAGTGGTGGTCTTGATTTAAAATCCTGAGTCTGCCCAGTCTGAGACCGAAACAAGAGTGAGGAAAAATGCTTTAGATTCAGAGACCAGACCTTCAAAAAGTGATCTTAAGACAAAGACCGATTTCAAGTACTACAACACAAACTATAGCCACTGCGCACCAACCACTAGGCCACTGGCGCCCCAGTATGTCCTCTGAAAATATAACAGGCATGTGTTAATAAAGACTTCATGCAGTTGTCTCTTTTTCTCTCTCTTTTTATGATTGAACGATAAATGACTGAATGTGTCTCTCCGCTTCTGACAGAAGGAAACAGGAAACTAACAACGTCTCTACAGCCCACTGGGGGGAAAACAAGAGGATGTGAGAGGGAGAGAGGGAGAGCTCGGAGGAAGGAGAGCGTGAGAAACTGTGATGTCACTCTGTCTGCTGGGAATGAAGTTACAGAGGACAGAGACGTTTGGTGGGAAAAGTCTCCAGAGACGAGGTCGGGGGGGTCGACGAAGATCTCAAAAGAAGCAGGGACGTCTCTTCTTTGGTGGAAAAAAACTGTGTTATAATCTTCACATTTAAATCGAAACAACATTATCAGTGCTGTAATCCAAATAAACACCAATCCTCATGGTACATTCGGCTCTCCTGATTGGTCTAAACTGATGACATCATCACATAGGCATGTGGGTCAGTGAGGAGGATGAGTATTCACACTCATTAAGAGGACGCTTTATTTAGTTTATCTGGATGCTTCTTTTGTCACCCTGAGAGACAGTGACCATGCATGTGTGTGTGTGTGTGTGTGTGTGCCCCCCCCCATGTGTGTTTGTATTTAAATGAGATCATTCACATGGTGAAGTTAGGTCACTTAAGCTGGGAATGAAACTTGAGTCATCACAGAGGAAAGCTAACAGTGTATAAAGCACAGATAATCAGTTAGCTTGATGCTAACACATAATGGAGATTGCTATTATCAGGCTAACAGAATTAGCATCGCGACCACATTGATTTCACCCTAAGAAACAATCTAATGTACTAAACCAGTGGTTCCCAACCTTTTTTCCTTAGAGCCCCCTTAACTGTATCTTAGAGAAGCTGACGACCCCCTGCGACCCACATGGAAACTAAAGCGACACAGTGCTGTTCAAAATGAAAATCAGTTTCACTAGATTTCATTCTCAAATCCCAAATGATGAGCCTAGATACACTTCTTATACCAAAATACATGTTTTAAGATTTTAGTTCAAATATGTAAATCTTATTTAGACAACCTCGGATCAGACAAAGCCCCACTCTCTGGAGCCCCGCCTAGGGGTCCCCCACCTCAGGCTGAGAACCAGTGTCCTAATAATGATAGAGAAAACACGCTCAACTCCCTTTCACAAAAAAAAAAAACACAACTGGGTGCTGAATCCCGAAAAATGTTCAAACAAGAAGAACAATTAGGACAGCACTCCAAAACTGTACTTTAATTGCCACACGAACGTTTCGAGAAGACGCTCTTCTTCAACGTGAAACAGGTCATTTTCTCGACATTTTTAAAATTATACAATATTTTGTTAACTTGATCCGATGCTTAGTTAGTCATTATACACTTTATAAAATGTTTCCCAGGTAAGTAAGAATTCTAAAGATTCACCAAAGTCCCTGTGCCTCATCTGATCTGACGTTTTGGACCCAATATAAACGATGAGGTATTATTGTGAGATTTAAGTTCTCCAACATTTATTCTAAATCTATTTTATCAAACAGACACAACACTGATGTTATATCCTAATTTCTAATGAGCTGAAGAGTGAGCAACCTGCATTTTGAAACTGACATGTTAAAGACATGTTTGTTTTTTTTAAGATTCATTTTGGAGCTGTTTATGAGAGAGAGAGAGAGAGAGAGAGAGAGAGAGAGAGAGAGAGAGAGAGAGAGTGGGGAATGACAAGAAAGGTAAAGGAGCCACAGGTCGGATTCGAACCCTGATTTACCCCCTTGGAGGTAATTTTCAGGTTATGAAAGGTAGTTTGAGCAAAGATAATAAAAATGTAAATAAATACAGTACATAAGCAAAAGCTCATTTGCCTTCATTATCTTGGTGTATGTAGAAATATGTGACACAAATACAGCATACCAAACATTTATTCAATGGGGTGCAGGTAGCATAGTGGTTAGTGGGAGTGCCCCATTAACAAGGGTTTTGATCACATCGTATCTGTGTTTTTGAGTTGACATAGTTTCTAAACATGCAGCACGTTTTATTCATTTTAAATAGTTTGGGTCGTTGCAGGTCTGATGCCCCCAGCAGCCCCTGTAGAAAGAGACCTGCGTCAGAACTGGTTAGCATGGTCGCTAACATCGTTGACTTGAAAGTTGGATATCTCTGCTGGCAGCTAGAAGGCCGGAAGTCATTTGAAAAGATCATCCTCAGCTCATGACAACATTTTCTGGCTCCTAAAAAAACGAGCCGAGGGAAAGCGATAGCTCTTTTAAAGGAGGTCTGAGGTTTTGAAAGCAGGCCAACCAAAATGAAGTGACAGTGACAGGCTCACAGAGAACTCTGAATTATGCATGTTTAAATGCTTAATCAGTGAGACACAGGGCAAGCAGCGCTACACTAATAATAATGTTCCTGTGTTCTCTTTACAGGTTCAAATGGAATGAAATTAAAACAGCAGACAATGCAAAAATCACAACATCCCCCCTGAGTGGAGGAGGAATTATGGCTCTGTTATAATCTGATAGAAATACAGTGAAGCGGGGTGTGTTAACCAGTGACTGTTAATGGCTTTTAAAAGTGCATGTAGTGAAAGTAAACCCCCCCCCACACACACACACACACACACACACACACACATAAAGACACACACACACACACACACACACACACACACACACACACACATAAAGACACACACACACTGGTCGCAGCTGGGAGATCTACTCAGACAGGACTTTGACAGATGGTCCAATAGGAGGCTGGAGCGGGAGGGAGGGAGGAGACGAGGGCTAAAGAAAAGGATGGAGGGGAGGGGACAATGCTAATGCATGCAGAAGTGTGTGTGTGTGTGTGTGTGTGTGTGTGTGTGTGTGTGTGTGTGTAGGAGGGGAGTCATCTGCTCCTGAAAGAATGGGAGAGTAAGAAAAAGGGTTGTAAAGCTCTGAAGAGGCTCTGTAGTCCTGCTGACGCTGCATTACCACATATATGGATGCTGAGACACACACACACACACACACACACACACACACACACACACACTATTGTGTCACTCTTCTACATTTTAAATTACAGTAATTTGTGTTTTTATTACTTTAAATTCAGAAAAAGCTAATGTAATTGACCCACAAGAGCTTCCATTCATGATAAATGGAACAATAATTGGATCACCTGGTTGTTTCCTCATTAAGCACGCAGCTCTCTGATTGGTTGGTGCTTTAATTTTGTCACAAGAAGTCTCTTTATTACTCATTACTGATTGGTTTCTCTTTCAACGATTATGCAGAGATCCCGCCCACAAAATATGTCACTCAAAAAAATACTAGCGTTCTAGCCACGCCCACTCCTCGTCTCGCCTCCTCGCGCTCGCAGGCTGCACCCTTCCGAAAACCCTCCTCGTGAAACACAGGTAGAAAGGAGAACAGTTTCGGTCGACTTCCGGTGTTCACTTTCAAAATAAAATTAATCGAAACACAACTATTGTTTAATGGTTTTTGGAATTATTTTTAGTGCTTTACTCTGAACTTAGTGAAAAGTTCACATTTTGTGTTGTCTAAATAATTCTTAAAATATTTCAGTTCTTTGAGTAACTAGTTGTTCTGACAATATTTAAGAAAAAGCAAAGTTAGCCCTAACTTATAATGGTATGACTTGATATAACTATGTTATGTAAATTTCCATAGGTGTCTCCTGTCCATTTAGAAGCTATAGTGTTTATTGACTCACATTGACTGTTATATTGGTTGCTACGGTTACTGTTTATGAGTATCTCCTCGTGTCTCTATGTACCAGCCGTACTAGCTGGGACCACAAATTTCCCGCTGGAGAACAATAAAGTCCTATATTGTCCTTTTGTGTTTAATTGCAAGAATTTGTGAAGTTTACATTTTGTTAAATTTTCAAACGTTCACATTTGTATATTTTTTAGGTGTTATTATTTAATTTCACAAGTAGCCACAAGATAAATCAAATAATCTAAATCAAACATGATATGTAAAACAATAATTAAAGATAGTGTGTTGAGGAAATATGATGAAATGTGTTAATTAGGTTTTGTTCTGTTTTGTGTTGTTGCGACATGAAAACTACTTTGTGATCTGCTTTAAATGGTATAAGATTAATTGTTACTGAGGACCCACTATAGAAGAAGGTATAATTTATTAAAAATTACACTTTCAATTCAATTTTACACTTTTGTTGAATATGCTGCACACATGGGCTGAAATACACACACACATGCACAAACAGGATCCTATGGACATGCACTGGTGGAGAGATGTCAGATTGACATGGCTGCCCACAGCGAGCACTCCTGAGCTGATGGGGGGTTCGTAGCCTTGCTCAAGGGCACTTCAGTAGCGGGCAGGAAGTGAACAGGCACCTCTCCAGCTACCAGAACATTTTCCTAACTTGGTCAACACACCGGGACTTGAACCGACAATCCAACCAAAGTCCCTACAGTCTGAGCCACTGCCACCATTAAAATCCAATAGTGGACGGTGAGTGGACGTGTTGGTCTGCAGCTATTCTATTTTATGTATTTGTTTGGATTGTGTGTTTTGTTAATTATTGTCTTGTGAAAGAGGGGCAGATTATAAAATATTCTTCTTCTTTCTGCTCCTTTGCTTTCAATATTTGAGATTTTATGTTTGGTTTGGTCAATGAATTAAATAAATGTACAAATAATAAAGTATATATATATATATATATATATACACTCAGGCTGTACGTGTAGCCTATCATACACTCAAAAACAACATTATTATCCATCTGGTTTGTTTTATTCTGTTTCAAAGCTACTACGTGAGTTTGTGAAGTGGATGTGCCTGATTAAGAAACTAAAAGCTTTTATTTTGAAGGAATCACATCGTTTTCCTGTGTTGTCGTCGTAAAACGTGTTAACTTGACGCAACTTCCTGAAAGATTGACAGCTTGTGCCGCTCTCTTCTCTTTAGTGGTAGAAACGAGAGCTCCCGTTGTGTGAGCAACTCAATCACATCGCCTCACGTCGTTTGCGGATTTTTCTCGGATCTAATTTTTGTACTTTTACGGAAGTTCACCGGGAAGCGCACTCGGTTTGGAGTTTATAAGAATCTGCGGGGAATGAAAGTGGAGCGGACGCCTCAAACAAAGTAATCAGAGGAGGAGGTAGACCTGCGTTTGATGGCTGCTGGGGATGGAGCCCAGCTGCCGGCCACCGTAGCGGCCAGCCGGAGCGTGGAGAAGGCGCTGGAGGAGGCTGCAGCGAGCGGGGCTCTCAACTTATCCAACCGAAAACTGAAGGAGTTTCCCCGCAGCGCCAAGAACTACGACCTGTCCGACATAACACACGCAGGTCAGTTCTTCCTTTAACTTAGAAGAGCAACAAAGCGAGCTGGCTATTATCACGAGAACAGCCTTTTGTTTTATCAACACCTGCCCCCTTTCTTCTAATGGGGAAGGCGTCTTTGCCGAACCCCGTCTGCTTTCTGTAGACTTCTTAAAATCCTGTCTGGTTTTTGGCTGTCACAGCTTTAAAGTGCTGAATGAGGACTTATTTCTCACCAACAGGACCTACTGCTCAATTCGGCTCACATATACCACTCAAACCTGTTATTATAGTGTCTTTTCAAACTAGTCCATAATGGTAATCGTCTTGATCCAGTGTTGCTGTTAGCGTGCTAGGCGAACCAGAATCTGGTGTTTTTCAAATGGAGGTTCCTGCTTGGGGGACTTAAAGAAAGTTGGGGTGTATTTTATGAGCTGTTTACTAGCTTCTCTCTTTAAGAAAAGCCACATGAAGTTCAAGCTTTTTCAAAGGAGCTTGTCGTGTTGTTCTCTTAAAAGAAAAAGGGAAAAAATGTCAGATATGTGAGTTCCTCTTCCTCAACACATCCTGAACCTCTACATACTCGCCTTTGAGTCATGGATTTACTGTAACTATGAGTTTTTTTTAAGTACTTTTTACTGTAACAACATGGCAGCTTTCTCTTTCAATGTGTGTCACTAACTTTATCTCATTGAACTAAGTTGCACAGGACATTAAAACAACAGCAGGGAGTAGCTTATACTGTAAACTAGTTGTGTGTGACACTGCAGATTAAAGGGAGCTACCTTGGCCTCGCCTTCTTTAAAAGAGGATTATCCCATCCAGGTTGCTGAAATCAATCTGCACAGACTTACAGTAACACCCCTCTGTCTATCTCGCCTCCGCTGCTGCTTTCTGTGCTTTTCTAATTATGACCATCTGCTCATAACAACCCAGGTCTAGGCCCTGTGGGATGACGAGGCCTTGAACACTCATAAACACACACACACACACACACACACACACACACACACACACACACACACACACATGCACCTGCTACTAGGGAAACCCAGCACTAATGAACATGGAAGTGATGATGAATACCTCATACCTGCAGTAATGCCTCCTGATTGGGATGTGTTTATCCAAGTGCAGGTTCTTAAATAAACAATTTATTCAGCTCAGCATGTTGGTAAATGATACCGCCGTGTATCTCTTTCTGTGGCACGGAGGCTGCTATCAAATTGCATGTGGAAAGTCAAGGATCCAGTGTTTTTGAAGCTTAAAGTCTGGGTGTCTCTACCTCTGCTGAGGCGGTTTTAACTCTTTAAATTTAGAAATGAGAAGGAAGCCGCAAAGAATGCTTTCGGTAGTTTTTTGGGGTTCAGTAATTGTTGAAGGACTTTCTGATATTTGACATCCTCTGATTGTTATTGTGTGTGTCAACATTACAGAAAGGATCACTACAGAGATAGACATTCTTAAAACCAGAAACAGCTATTGCGTCCCTCTCTTCAAAGCCAGCCACCAGACTCCATTGACAAAAACAGTAGTCCTACCACTTAAAACACAGGACTTGCTGGTCTACCCCGTAGACTGTACATATGAATTGATGACGCATGAGCGATGTCACCAAGCGGAAACCTCCGGTCTTTCTTTTCTCTTATACCCCTGCCTCAGATCAGTGCTTTATTTGTGAAATTGAGCAACTTTAGTGTTTTAAATGTTTTCTTTTGGATCCAATATTTTTTGCTACAAATAGTAGTACAACAAACTAACCGATCAAGGCAGCTTTAGACAAGAAGCCTCCCAAGTCCCTCAAGGTTAAATTACTGTTTTTGTCAATCCTGTCTGGTGGCTCTGAATAGAAGGATGTAATGACTGTTTCCGGATTGAAATAAACATCTTTCTCTAAATCAAACATGTCTTTAGGAACTTCTCTTTAATGTTGTCAGAAACTTAGAATAACAATCGGAGCCTGACAGTGGTAATAATAAGAACTTTTAGTGGAAGGACCTGGATTGGGCACATTTGCCCCCAAGGATTTCATTTCAGCCTAGCTTTAACTGGAGTTGTTCTAATACAATTAACAGCTACATTTTTCCACATGCAAGAAATCCAGCTCACAGTCTACAATTAGATTACAGCCATGCATTCTTAAAATGCAGTCGACCTTTGGCACAGCTGGTGTTTTGGTTTGCCAAAACGCCAGCTATTTGTTTGATTAATAGCATTAATCAATCATCTCTGCTGTAATCCATTCAGGTACGCCGATGTTATAGGCCTCTTCTTCAATGGAACAGAGCCATCTTTTACATTTATTATTCATTTGAGAGTATAATTCTTTCCTCCACTTTAGGATCAGTATGTGCAACAAAATAATCTCAAATGGTTCCCCTTTACTGCACTACCTTTTACGTAGCTTATCAACAGGAAATCAGAGAATGCTCAGGGTGTTTTGTCATTTATTAATCACTTAAAAAGAGCTAAGAAATATGATGGCGCCACGCCTATCAAACTGTAGACGTGCAGAATCAACCTGGAGAATCACGCTTTGCTCAGACGTGAAGTTAAATGATGGAGCACAGCATTGTCGATCCGAGTAACAGCTCATGGAGTTCCCCATGTGTTTTGGTTCACGGTTCTGTTCTGACTTTCTCAAGTTCAACAGTGAATCAGCTTGTTAACAGGCTTATGCACATTGGATGGACTGGACCATGTTGAGGCGCATATTGATGATGATTTAGTATTCAGCCACTCATGGTCAGACCGTCTCCTGCACGTGTGAACGACTAAAAGTGGTCAATCTAACGGTTGTCTTGGGTGAATCAGAAATTGCTCAGGCCTTTGTTACATATCTTGGAAAGGTGGTCGGAAAGGGCAAGATGCTTCCCGTATTCGCAAAGGTCGAGGTTATTATAAATCTCCCAGGCGGTGGCAGCAGGGAGTTGGATAATGAGGTGGTGGTACCTTTCCTATCCTTGTACATGTACCTGGCATACTGGCTCAGCACTTTTACAAGCAACATTAGGAATTCTAATAATTGTGCAACTCTAGAAAGGCCAAATCTCACATTAATACCTAATTTATTACACAAGTTAATTTAAGGGTGGAGGGGTCTGGGGGTTCTTCCCCCTAAAAATGTTGTGCATCAGACAGTGTAATTCTTGTATTTTGTTTGTGTATTTTCATGCACCATTTGGCAAATATTGTTCATTTCCCTTTATTTTTGTCAAAGGAAATGATTTGGTGTAAATGATTGATTTCTGTTTCTTCCTGCATGGATGTAAAACTTCACCGTTATCATTCACATGGAGTTTGATGACGACACGGAGAGAAGTCTCGGAATAAAACAGTCGTCTGCTTCTTTCACTTTTCGTCCTCTTTGGTAGTTTGGTGGCGCCTTTCCTGTCATTTACGACACAGCGCCACCACCATATTGGCGTACATCCGTATTAGCAGTAAGAAACAAGAAATTCACACCAGGTGCTGTACTTTAAAAACTCTATTCTCCAGGAGAACACCAGTCAGACTTTGGCAAAATCAAGTTTTACATACAGGAAAAACCTTTTTAAAGACCACCGCCTGCTGGCATGGAGAGTTATTTCCTCGTACATGGTAGTTGGCCGTCGGCTGTAGTCTTTGCGGTGTGTTCAAGTGCACCTTTTCGGCCACAGTCGACCTTTGTTGCCAATAGTTCTTTGCCGTCTGCTTGGAGTGTCATGGCCTTTAACCAGCCCCAGGATCCCTTTTTCCTGTGGAGAAGAAAGGTTACTTCTGTTTTGTTGTTGTGGTATAGAAACAGGTATCAATATTGTTTGATTTTTAGTATCATATCGAAGTTTTGGTATCGTGACAACCCTTCTTGAAACTAACTTTTTTTTTTTTAGCTTAAAAATTCAAACTGAAAGTTATGAATTCAGTGTGAAATGAAAAGTAAGAACATCGAGAACACATTACCAAAAGGGATGTTTATCGTTTCAGTCCACCTGAGCTCCACCTGAACATTGAGCACTGTGTTTTCTGACGTCTCTATCTCTTGGTGACTCGCTGTTATTCATTCAGCTCTAATTAACGGGCGGTGCTCCTCTCCTATCGGTTCAATTGTAGACATTATTCTTGAGTACATGTTTTTGCAGCACCTAGTCCGTCTTTGAGGTCGAGTAATGAGCGGGTTTCAGTTTCATTGAGATACCTGGTAGTTATACCCACTCAGACTGTCATTATGTGAGCTATAAGGAGGCCTGCCCCTGCACCTATGTGTGTATGTGTGTGTGCAGGTGGTGACAGACCTCTGATTCATCAGACCGTCATCATGGTTGTCAGGTGGATTCTCGCCATGGATCATTTTCAGTTGGAGGAGGAGAAACAGTGGGATCTGATGCATTATGAGCTTGTTCTTTAAGCTACTTTAAAACTTTTCATATAATAATTACCTGTTAGTGTTGTGCTGTGATTGTTTCTTCCCCTGCTCACACTCAGCCTCGGCGGTGTGTGTGTCACTCAGGGAGAGGGAAAGAGCTCCAAGGGAACAAAGATCACTATGACCAGCTCATAGCTAATAATAAGATTGTGCTCGTTAACCTGAATCAATAAACAGAATGACATTGTTTAGATGGAGAAAGGATTGATGTAGTTGTTGGAATCTGTAGAATGTCTAAAGTTCAGAGAGGCTAAACCCTGGGCTAAAGGAATATATCCAATGAGTTTGTGCAAGTGCATACCTTTGACCAAACCACCTGAAATGGTCTGCTATAAACTGCCAATTTCAACATAGTCAGATCGCCACGGTGGCTCCGCGCTGCGCACCACCGCGCCGTTTGCTCCTCTAGTCAATGCTCGTATTTCCACACAGCACACGCTGCAGCCGGTCTCTGGAGCGTGCCAGCATCACTACACCGAGTCTATTTCAACGGAGCCCGCTGCAAACATGCATCCTGGGATTACTCCTGGGATTTAAAGTGCAGCTTTAAGTATCGTCCTAGACTGTAAATTCAAACAATGGATTGAATTAATTTATCTTAAAAGAAACTATTTTAAGGGCA